CAGATCCCCACAACAATAGATTCCCACACAACAAATCCCTCCCCACAACAACAGATCCCCACAACAATAGATTCCCCTGCAACAGATCCCTCCCCGCAACAACAGAACCCTCCCCACAACAACAGATCCCTCCCGCAACAACAGATTCAACCGCAACAGATCCCTCCCCACAACAACAGATCCCCGCAACAATAGATTCCCCCGCAACAGATCCCTCCCCGCAACAACAGATCCCCGCAACAATAGATTCCCCCACAACAAATCCTCCCCGCAACAATAGATCCCTCCCCACAACAATAGATCCCTCCCCACAACAATAGATCCCTTCCTGCAACAACAGATCCCTCCCCGCAACAATAGATCCCCTCCTGCAACAACAGATCCCTCCCCGCAACAACAGATCCCCACAACAATAGATTCCCCCGCAACAGATCCCTCCCCGCAACAACAGATCTCCACAACAATAGATTCCCCCGCAACAGATCCCTCCCCGCAACAACAGATCCCCGCAACAATAGATTCCCCCACAACAAATCCCTCCCCGCAACAATAGATCCCTCCCCACAACAATAGATCCCTCCCCACAACAATAGATCCCTTCCTGCAACAACAGATCCCTCCCCGCAACAATAGATCCCCTCCTGCAACAACAGATCCCTCCCCGCAACAACAGATCCCCACAACAATAGATTCCCCCGCAACAGATCCCTCCCCGCAACAACAGATCTCCACAACAATAGATTCCTCCGCAACAGATCCCTCCCTGCAACAACAGATCCCCGCAACAGATCCCTCCCCGCAACAACAGATCCCTGCAACAACAGATCCCCGCAACAGATCCCTCCCTGCAACAACAGACCCCCCACAACAACAGATCCCTCCCCACAACAACAGATCCCTCCCCGCAACAACAGATCCCTCCCCACAACAACAGATCCCTCCCCGCAACAACAGATCCCTCCCCCACAACAACAGATTCCTTCCTGCAACAACAGATCCCTTCCCCGCAACAACAGATCCCTCCCCACAACAACAGATCCCTCCCCGCAACAACAGATCCCTTCCTGCAACAACAGATCCCTTCCTGCAACAACAGATCCCTCCCCGCAACAACAGATCCCTTCCTGCAGCAACAGATCCCTCCCCGCAACAACAGATCCCTCCCCGCAACAATAGATCCCTGCCTGCAACAAGAGATTACTTCCTGCAACATCAGACCCCCCAAAAAACAAAAGACTCCCTAGCAATAATAGACCCCTCAACAACAGATCCGCCCTGTGGAAGTGGAGGGGAGCGGATGAGGCGCCCTAAGTCCGGTTCACACTGGCAGTCTGGATGCGTTTCTGTATGAGCGTTTTTTGACGCTTTCTGGTGCTTTTTTAATGTATTTTTTTACATGTTCCAGTTCCTTTTTTCCCCTCTCCTTTTCTGCAATGTAAATACAGACGTGCATTTTTGATGCGTTTTTGTGCGTTCCGCTGCATTTGTTATGCGTTTTGGTGCATTCCATTGCGTTTTTGATGCGTTTTGGTGTTTTTGATACATTTTGGTGTGTTCTGGTGCGCTTTTAATGCGTTTTGATGCATTTTGATGCGTTTTGGTGTGTTTTTGATACATTTTGGTGCGTTCTGGTGCGCTTTTAATGCGTTTTGATGCATTTTGATGCGTTTTGGTGTGTTTTTTATGCATTTTGGTGCATTCTGGTGCATTTTTAATGCATTTTGGGACATTCTTGTGCGTTTTGGTGCATGCTGGTATGTTTTTAATGCATTTTGGTGCATTCTGGTGTATTTTTAATGCATTTTGGTGTGTTTTTAATGCGTTTCGGTGCGTTTTGGTGCATTTTTTATGTGTTTTACCACGTTCCAGTGCAGTTCTGTGCAGGAAAAATGCCGCCTGTTCTACTTTCTTTTCTGCATCTGGAGCTGCAAGCGCTGATGGGATCTATGACACCGACCACCATATCCCCGACTTTCTGTGCGTTTTGGATGCAGAAAAGAACGCAACTGAAACGCACGTCGTGTGAACTGGCCCTAATGCCGGCCATACACGGGTCGAAATTCGACCAATTTTTCATCTGAAAATCGAACCTAAGAACAAATCGGCCGATTTTCGCTCTGTTAATGGGTCAATGGCACCGGCCGATTTTCGTGGCTCCCCCCCTTTTCGTGATTGGGGCATGCTAGAAAATTCATGAAAAACGACCGATTTTCAACTCCACGATCGTACGATCGTTTTTTCTGAAAAGAATATGCGCATGAGCCGTGACCTGGAAGGAACGGAAGTCTCGCCTGTTATATGGGGTGAACTTTATGACTCGGTCGGACGATTTTCGAAATCATTGATGGTGCCATCGGATTACCGAGCGAATAACGTTTTCGATTTTCGGAACAAAAAATCGTTCAGAATTTGACCCGTGTATGGCCTGCGTTAGTCTAGGTTTCACACCCGAGCATTTTGCAGAAACGCACTGCAGCCCGTTAACCGCTTCCCCTCCGCCCTATAGAAGATGTACTGCTACAGGGCGGCACGGGTGCGCATTTCTGGGTAGGGGGCGTGGCTGGCTGTCAATCACAGGATCCCAGCCAATGGTTAGGCGCCGGGTGATTTCCGAGGATCTCTAATGAGGTGGAGGACTGAGCTGTGTAGCTCCGGCACAGCCATCCAGACCAGTGTGAGTACAGTGAAGCACACAGACCCCGCCCCCATAGTAAAACTGCACACATTTAACCCTTTGATTGCCCCAGATGTTAACCCCTTCCTGCCCAGTGCCATTAGTAATGTTGGTGCTTTTTATTAGCTCTGATCACTGTATTGGTGTCACTGGGGATGTATTGGTGTCACCGGGGATGTATTGGTGTCACTGGAGATGTATAGATGTCACCGGGGATGTATTGGTGTCACCGGAGATGTATTGGTGTCACCGGGGATGTATTGGTGTCACTGGAGATGTATTGATGTCACCGGGGATGTATTGGTGTCACCGGGGATGTATTGGTGTCACCGGGGGATGTATTGGTGTCACCGGAGATGTCATTGGGGATGCCAGTGACACCAAGTCAGTTCCCCCCCCCAGTGTCAGAATGTCCGCCGCAGTCCCGCTGATCGCCGCCATTACTAGAAAAAAAAATCCCATTATCTATACCGCCATTTGTAAACACTATAACTTTCCCGTAAAGCGATTAATTTCCACGTATCGGGATTTTTTTTTTGTCCCAGAATACATTTTGGCTGAAATTTCTGACGAGATGATTTTTTATATTTTTTTACTGGACGTGTTTTCTAGCAAAAAGTCCAAAATATAGTTTTTTTTTTTTCTCAAAATTGTCGGTCCTTTTTTTTTTTCCATAGCGCAAAATAATGAAATTGCACAGGAGATCGAATACCACCGAAAGAACGATCTATTCGTGGGAAATCTCATTTGGGGGCGGCGTCGCATGACCGCGCACGCAATTGTCAGTTAAAGGAACGCAGCGATCAACCATTAACTGATCAGATTCTAATGGATTGGATCGATTCGTTTTTGCACGCTCAGATTGTATCGTGTATTGCTGCTGTAGGGTCGCCATACAATCTGTGCAATCTCCTTTAGATCGACCATCAACCAATCGGATACTCATTCATTGGATCCATTCGTTTTTTTCACGCCCAGATTGTATAGTGTATCTATACAATCTGTGCAATTTACTTTAGATCGGCATTAACCGATCAGATACTCATTGATTGGATCAATTCATTTTTCCCTCCTATTATATTGTTTCAGTTTCACTCTCAGATTGTATCGTGTATTGCTGCTGTAGGGTCACCATACAATCTCCTTTAGATCGACCATCAACCGATCAGATACCAATTGATTGGATCGATTCGTTTTTTGCATGCCCAGATTGTATCGTGTATTGCCACTCTAGAGTCGCCATACAATCTGTAAAATCTTCTTTAGATCAACCATCCAACCGATCTGATACTAGATGATTCGAATGATTTGTTTTTTTGCATGCCTAGATTGTATCGTGTATTGCTGCTGGCTGGGTCACCATACAATCTCCTTTAGATCGACCATTAACCGATTGGATACTAATTGATTGGAGCGATTCCTAGATTGTATAGTGTATTACCACTCTAGTTTCGCCATACAATCTGTACAATCTTCTTTAGATCGACCATCAACCGATCGGATACTAATTGATTGGATTGATTCGTTTTTTGCGTGCCCAGATTGTATAGTGTATGGCCAGTGTAGGGTCACCATACAATCTCCTTTAGATCAACCATCAACCGATCTGATACTAGATGATTCGAATGATTCGTTTTTTTGCATGCCCAGATTGTATCGTGTATTGCTGCTGCAGGGTCACTATACAATCTCCTTTAGATCGACCATCAACCGATCGGATACTCATTGATTGGATCGATTCCTAGATTGTATAGTGTATTGCCACTCTAGGGTCGCCAATACAATTTCCTTTAGATCGACCATCAACCAATCGGATACCAATTGATTGGATTGATTCCTTTTATGCACGCCCAGATTGTATAGTGTATAGCCACTGTAGGGTCGTCATACAATCTGTACAATCTCCTTTTGATCGACCATCAACCAATCGGATACCAATTGATTGGATCGATTCCCAGATTGTATAGTGTATTACCACTCTAGGGTCACCATACAATCTCCTTTAGATCGACCATCAGCTGATCAGATACTCATTGATTGGATCGATTCCTTTTTGCACGCCCAGATTGTATTGTGTATGGCTGCTGTAGGGTCACCATACAATCTCCTTTAGATCGACCATCAACCAATTGGATACCAATTGATTGGATCGATTCATTTTTTTTGCACGCCCAGATTGTATCGTGTATGGCCAGACTTTGCCGAGATTCCTTCTCCTTTCCTCTGGTGTCACCTGGACAGGAAGTGAAGGAAATCTCTCACCTGGGGACCCCGCTTGTAGCCCTCCCCCCCCCCCCCCCCTCCCATGGCAGTGGTGGCCACTTACTGGGGTATCGGTAGTAGAAGTCGTTGTCGGCGTCGGTGGTGCTGGCGTTGAGTTGGCGGTGCCAGGCGTTGGCGTCGGTCTCGTGGTCGTAGCGGACGAAGACGGCGAAGAGGACGATGGTGGCGGCTTGGAGCAGCAGGCAGACGACGGGGAGTTTGACCCTCATGCTGGTGGCGTGGTTGGCCATGTCGGGAAGAAAGAAGTCGCTGTGAGTGTGGATCTCCTCCCGGGAAGACATTGAATCTTATGGCAGAGCTCAGCCCCGCCCCCTCACCAGGACTCTCCTGTGTGCAACGCCCTCCCTCCCCACCCGCCTGCGACTCCCCATCCAAAGGTCTCCTCACATCGAAAACGGGACAATCAGGACAATCGCACGTTCTGCTCCTCGCCGCGCAGCTGTCGTCTCCGCCGTTAAAGCGACAAACGCAGCAAAAAAAAAAAAAAAAAAAAAGTAGTCAATCAGGAAAAACGTGCGACAATGTGAGAACGGCGATCGTCGTTAACCCCTTCAAGGGACACAACCGGAGCAAAGAGCCCCCCCCCCCCCCGGTCACACTGAGTGCGACTTGGCATGCGATTCGCTCGTCCGCCATTACCGGTGCGACTTCCGACTCGGAGACGCACCGATTACTAAAGTAGTGCATGCGTTACTGTTGGTGCGATTTACGGGGACATCCGCGTCAGACGTCCTGCAGATCTCACCTGAAATCGCAGTGATACGGCCGGGCACTACGTCACGGGGCGCAGCGCTGCGATTCGGAAGACTCCGAGATTTACATTCATTAGATGTGATTTCAATCCCCAAATCGCACCTGAAATTGCACCGGTGTGACCTACGTCGCCGATCACACCGCTGCGATTTTGCGTGATTTGTGTGCGATTTCAGTGCAATTTCTGACTTGTGAACATTTGCAACAATTTCTTGTAATTCGCAGTGCGATTTCCATTCTATTCTATTATATTCTATGAATGTGAAATCGCAACAAATAAGTAATGCAAGAACTACTTCAGCAAATCGCACGTTAAGACGCCAACATTCCCATTCATTAGATGTGATTTCAATTCACAAATCGCACCTGAAATCGCACCGGTATGACCTACGTCGCCGATCACAGCGCTGCGATTTCGGAAGACTTTATTGCAACACCGACATTGACATTCATTAGATGTGATTTCAATCCCCAAATCGCACCTGAAATCGCACCGGTATGACCTACGTCGCCGATCACAGCGCTGCGATTTCGGAAGACTTTATTGCGACGCCGACATTGACATTCATTAGATGTGATTTCAATCCCCAAATCGCACCGGTACGACCTACATTGCCAACCACACCCGCTGCGATTTTGCGTGATTTGTGTGCGATTTCTGAAGACTTTATTGCGACTTGTGAAGATTTTCAACAATTTCTTACCATTCGCAGTGCGATTTTCCATGATATTCTTTGAATGTGAAATCGCAACAAAAAAGTAATGCAAGGACTACTTCAGTAATCGCACTGCAGCAAATCGCATGTTAAGACGCTGACATTCCCATTCATTAGATGTGATTTCAATTCCCAAATCGCACCTAAAATCACACCGGTATGACCTACATCACTGATCACAGCGCTGCGATTTTTGCGTGAATTGTGTGCGATTTCTGAAGACTTTATTGCGACTTGTGAAGATTTGCAACAATTTCTTGCCATTCGCAGTGCGATTTCCATTATATTCTATGAATGTGAAATCGCAACAAAAAAGTCACGCAAGAACTACTTCAGCAAATCGCACGGGTAGACACTGACATTCCCATTCATTAGATGTGATTTCAATCCCCAAATCGCACCTGAAATCACAGTGATATGACCGGGCGCTTTGTCACGGGACGCACCGCTGCGATTTCGGAAGACTTTATTGCGACGCCGACATTGACATTCATTAGATGTGATTTCAATCCCCAAATCGCACCGATATGACCTACGTCGCCGATCACAGCGCTGCGATTTCGGAAGACTTTATTGCAACGCCGACATTGACATTCATTAGATGTGATTTCAATCCCCAAATCGCACCTGAAATCGCACCGATATGACCTACGTCGCCGATCACAGCGCTGCGATTTCGGAAGACTTTATTGCAACACCGACATTGACATTCATTAGATGTGATTTCAATCCCCAAATCGCACCTGAAATCACACCGGTATGACCTACGTCGCCGATCACACCGCTGCGATTTTGCATGAATTGTGTGCATTTTCTGAAGACTTTATTGCGACTTGTGAAGATTTGCAACGATTTTTTGTAATTCGCAGTGCGATTTCCATTCTATTCTATTCTATTCTATGTATGTAAAATCGCAACAAAAAAGTCACACAAGAACTACTTCAGAAATCGCACGGGTAGACACAGACATTCCCATTCATTAGATGCGATTTCAATCCCCAAATCGCACCTGAAATCGTACCGGTATGACCTACGTTGCCGATCACAGCACTGCGATTTTGCATGAATTGTGTGCGACTTGTGAAGATTTGCAACAATTTCTTGTAATTCGCAGTGCGATTTCCATTATATTCTATGAATGTGAAATCGCAATAAAAAAGTCACACAAGGATTACTTCAGAGATCGCACTGCAACGCAAGAACTACTTCAGAAATCGCAGGTTAAGACGCCGACATTTACATTCATTAGATGCGATTACAATTCCCAAATTGCACCTGAAATCGCATCGGTATGACCTACGTCACCGACCACACTGCTGCGATTTTGCGTGATTTGACTTTATTGCGACTTGATGCGATTACAATTGCCAAATGACACCTGAAATCGTACCGTTACGACCGCTGCAATTTTGCGTGATTTGTGTGCGATTTCTGAAGACTTTATTGCGACTTGTGAAGATTTGCAACAATTTCTTACCATTCGCAGTGCGATTTCCATGATATTCTTTGAATATGAAATCGCAACAAAAAAGTCACGCAAGGATTACTTTAGAGATCGCACTGCAGCAAATCGCATGTTAAGACGCTGACATTCCCATTCATTAGATGTGATTTCAATTCCCAAATCGCACCTAAAATCACACCGGTATGACCTACATCACTGATCACACCGCTGCGATTTTTGCGTGAATTGTGTGCGATTTCTGAAGACTTTATTGCGACTTGTGAAGATTTGCAACAATTTCTTGCCATTCGCAGTGCGATTTCCATTATATTCTATGAATGTGAAATCGCAACAAAAAAGTCACGCAAGAACTACTTCAGCAAATCGCACGGGTAGACACTGACATTCCCATTCATTAGATGTGATTTCAATCCCCAAATCGCACCTGAAATCGCAGTGATATGACCGGGCGCTTTGTCACGGGGCGCACCGCTGCGATTTCGGAAGACTTTATTGCGACGCCGACATTGACATTCATTAGATGTGATTTCAATCCCCAAATCGCACCTGAAATCACACCGGTATGACCTACGTCGCTGATCACACCGCTGCGATTTTGCATGAATTGTGTGCATTTTCTGAAGACTTTATTGCGACTTGTGAAGATTTGCAACGATTTTTTGTAATTCGCAGTGCGATTTCCATTCTATTCTATTCTATTCTATGTATGTAAAATCGCAACAAAAAAGTCACACAAGAACTACTTCAGAAATCGCACGGGTAGACACAGACATTCCCATTCATTAGATGCGATTTCAATCCCCAAATCGCACCTGAAATCGCACCGGTATGACCTACGTTGCCGATCACAGCACTGCGATTTTGCATGAATTGTGTGCGACTTGTGAAGATTGCAACAATTTCTTGTAATTCGCAGTGCGATTTCCATTATATTCTATGAATGTGAAATCGCAATAAAAAAGTCACACAAGGATTACTTCAGAGATTGCACTGCAATGCAAGAACTACTTCAGAAATCGCAGGTTAAGACGCCGACATTTACATTCATTAGATGCGATTACAATTCCCAAATTGCACCTGAAATCGCATCGGTATGACCTACGTCACCGACCACACTGCTGCGATTTTGCGTGATTTGACTTTATTGCGACTTGATGCGATTACAATTGCCAAATCACACCTGAAATCGTACCGTTACGACCGCTGCAATTTTGCGTGATTTGTGTGCGATTTCTGAAGACTTTATTGCGACTTGTGAAGATTTGCAACAATTTCTTACCATTCACAGTGCGATTTCCATGATATTCTTTGAATATGAAATCGCAACAAAAAAGTCACGCAAGGATTACTTCAGAGATCGCACTGCAGCAAATCGCATGTTAAGACGCTGACATTCCCATTCATTAGATGTGATTTCAATTCCCAAATCGCACCTGAAATTCACCGGTATGACCTACATCACCGATCACAGCGCTGCGATTTTGCGTGATTTGTGTGCGATTTCTGAAGACTTTATTGCAACTTGTGAAGATTTTCAACAATTTCTTGTAATTCGCAGTGCGATTTCTATTCTATTCTATTATATTCTATGAATGTGAAATCGCAACAAATAAGTAATGCAAGAACTACTTCAGCAAATCACACGTTAAGACGCCAACATTCCCATTCATTAGATGTGATTTCAATTCCCAAATTGCACCTGAAATCGCATCGGTATGACCTACGTCACCGACCACACTGCTGCGATTTTGCGTGATTTGACTTTATTGCGACTTGTGAAGATTTTCAATGATTTCTTGTAATTCGCAGTGCGATTTCCATTATATTCTATGAATGTGAAATCGCAACAAAAAAGTCACGCAAGAACACATCTCATGAATGTAAATGTCGGTGTCGCAATAAAGTCTTCCGAAATTGCAGCGATGCGACCCGTGACATAGCGCCCGGTCATACCGGTGCGATTACAGGTGCGATTTGTGAATTGAAATTGCATCTAATGAATGTGAATGTCGGCGTCTTAACATGCGATTGGCCGCAGCACGATTTCTAAAGTAGTTCTTGTGCAACTTTTTCTGCAGTTTTGTTGCGATTTCGCATTCATAAAATATCATAGAAATCGCACTGCAAATGGCAAGAAATCGCTGAAAATCTTCACAAGGAGCAATAAAGTCTTCAGAAATCGCACTGAAATAGCGCACAAAACACGCAGTGTGACCAATGACATGGTGCACAGTCATACCGGTGCAATTTCAGGTGCGATTTCAATTCCCAAATC